TCCCCGTTACGTAATCCGGCGTTTAGTCCATTTCTGTCCTCAGGGTTTATTTAAAAAATCAACCAATTTCTTCGCCAATCTATCTCAAAACGTTATCTTGCCCGGTGTTGCGGTTAATGATTTTGAAGCACGGTGGGCAATCTGAACCGATCTTTTCATTCTATTTGCATTTATTTGACACCTCTTCACATTTCGAATGGAGCACGAGACCGTCTGTCAAAAATGTTGTGTTGACGATTGGAGAAGAGGTCGACCTCCAAAAATTCACATTTCTCAAGCGGGGTTTCGTACGCAGTTCCGCGGTGCAAGCGTGAGATTTTAGGAGAGAAATGCTTCCGCCCTGACTTTGATCATTCTTCTTGATTTTTCGGATGGCTTTGACACGCCTTAAGTCTCTTTAATCCCTTTGACTTGGGATATACCCTCGTAATTGAGTGGTCATGGAATATCCATTTTGAAGCGTTTGGAAATTTTTAGAAGTCGTTGTTCCATAGGGGCATGCTGTTTTTCCAAAAATATATTTGGCTACTGCTTGCACGCAGTTTGGCAGGAATTTGGGCTCGGTTGTCCATCATCGTCGTACGACTTTTAGTTGTTTTTCTTTGTATAGTGTTTTCTTTCTGCCTGAATTCAAGCGGAGCTTCAGCTCTTTTCTCCTTGCGTTCAAAAACCGGCTGACGTTTTGTCATTATGTAGTCTGACGTTTTTCTATTTCTTCTCAAAAAACTGAAGTTGCTTGTGCGCAATTTACAGCTCGCGGTTTTCAGCGTTTGGTAAAATTTTGATTTTCCTCATGTCGTTTTCGAGTGTGGCTGAGCAAAGTTCTTTTGAGCCGTCAACGCCCGGGATCCGCGCAGGCAATTGGCCAAGCGACCGGCCCGGAATTCTAAGCTTCTAGAGCTCACCATGCCGTGTGACCAATCTAATGGCGTTCGAAAATATGAATGATGATTGGTGGCTTTTCAACTTTTTTGCAGTTGTTTGGGTCGGGCTGGTCGTCGTCGGTGCCTGCATTCTGCCATTATCAATTATGCCAATGCTGACTTGGCCACGAGTTGCTTGGGTTCAAAAACATAAAATCTTCAGCTGTTTTGAATGCACCTACGGCATCCAAATGGCTAGACGGTTCTCGAATCGAAACCATCGGATTTTGGTAGAATTGCCCAGGGATGAGATTTTACGCTAAATAATTAATTGATTAATTGATTTTATTGTTAGAAATTACATACTAGAAGATGGGCGAGAAAGAAAGAGAAAACGCTAGCCAAAATTAAAATACCGAAAAATAGCATGAATAAATATAAAATATCGGCGTTTTTGCGTCTTTGAAGTGTCTACAAAGACACTAACCCAAATCAATAATTAATTTGCATTTTTTTGTGAACGGTGGCGAGAAGAGCAGAAAAACTTTTAGAAAGCCAAAAAATGGCAGTTTCAAACTTAAAAATTATATTATTGATCTAATTAATTGAAATTAGGTCTAATTGTGAGAATACCCAGATTTGCAAGGTCAACTTCTAAACGGAAAATCGGAGGAAAAATCAGAATTAAGGATTATGAAGCCAAATAACGGAACGCGAGGCGTGTATCACGACAATGTTGCGTCTCGCCGGCACGGTCTATCGATTGTCGCCGCCTTTTTTAGCAAATCATGCGGCGTTGCAAGACGGAGACATGGAAGAGAGGAAAAGCCGACGGAAAATGCCAAGATTTGCACCTTTATTGGTAAATTAGGCTGAAAAAGGTGAGGTTGCAAAATTATTATGAGAGGCGAGCGTATTCTGTGAACGAGAGGGAATCCCAAAAATCAGAAGATCTCGTTTTCACGACTTCTAAAGCTTTTAAAATTAAACCAGACCCGCGGCCAAGTGAGACTCAAGATCAAGGTGCCTTTTTGAAATCGGCCTAGACTATTTTGCACCAATTTTTTTGCTGATCCGGAATTTGATTCTAATTTTAGCCAAATAAGTGTATTAAAAAAGTTGCAGCACTTTTAAAACTAAATGCGTTCCGCCTTCCAAATGGTGAATTCGAGGTGAGTGCAATCGGGTGTTTTTCCCCAATTCCTAAGCAAAAATTGATTTGATTTCGTTTTTCTGGGCGTGACGATGCGCCAAATGCGTTCGTAATAAATAGCATATTCTTTCGTATTTACAATTTATTAATCTTTGTTATGCCGAGCAGACAATTTGGCAACATCCATTGCCCATAGGTCCAGCCAGCCCCATGATTCAGTTGTCGTCGCCCTTCTTCGATTGTGACTGGATCCAGTAGCACGTCTGTTTCGACGTCTTTTGAGGGACCTGCAAATAATGAATGTTTTCCTAAATTAGTTTTTCTTATTTTTCTAAACATTTGCCTAAATACATTTTGCTAAACCCAATTTTTGCAAACGTCATTTTTCGTGAAAGTGGGTTTTCACACAGTTTTTACTAAAATCGATATTCCCCAAAACAAACAAAAAAGGCCGAAAAGCAACAATTTTTCGAGCTTTTTCGAAGTTTGTAAACCCCACTTTTGCTTTTAACTGCTTTTAGCAAACTTTTAACAAAATAGTTAAATAGAAGCAATTTTCACGTAAAATTTTCGTAGCGTCTTTGCGGCAACCTTTGACGATTATTAAAGCAAAAATCAGTTTTTTGCGGTGTGTATGATTTAATGCCATATTGCGTACGTTCGTATCAGATTAAAAGTAAACTTACGTGCCCCTATGAAATGACGGAGCATAGCCTTCTCTTCCTACCTTTAGATGCCGACCCTCGTTGGGCATGAATCCTGAAAACTGTTAATCTGCGTTGATTTTCGTTTCCGTTGTTTTTTAGCAATTTATTCCTGTCCGAAAGAATCCCCTTCCATTTGGTTTTGTACAAAATTGCATTACATGCATGGTGGAGAACAAAAATAAGAATAACCCCCAAAATTTTTACTAATCCGACTATATATAAAAAAATAGTGTTTGTGTGTGTGTGTGTGTGTGTGTGCCACTTTGCATCCACTTCCGTCTGTCTGTCCGGAGGATATCTCGATAGGGGATGAATTTTAAGGTATGTGTGATACGTCAATAGGTGCGCAATGGCCCAAAGATGACTGCACGCTTAACAGATTTAACAAAATCACCTATTTTCGACATTAAATTTAAGTTTTTGTGAAAACCTCTTTGTTAGGAACAATTAGCATTGACCGGAAGTGGGGAATCGCCTATATAAAGAGACAGGAGCGGTGTTTTTCATTTTTGCCATCTGAATTCAGGACAATTATGCAAATTAAAGCATATTATGACGCTAGACGGGGGCCAGGGTTGAAAAGTCGCGAAGCGGCTTTTCAACCCTGGTGCTAGCTAAAAATACCTCAAAATTGGGCTTAGCTTTGTCTTAAAAATTAAAATTTCGGAACTCGCTAGGTCTAAAATAATTTTTTCGAGATCTTGTCGAAATTTCCAAGAGATCTTGGTAAAATTGAGCCAGTGAAACCTGTTAGATGACCGACAAGTAATTAAATTTTGAGAAACGAAAATTTGACTACACTGGTTTCGACATTATATTTTTCTGGCAAATGGTATAGGCAAGCTATTACATCTATAGTGGCTTAAAAAGCTGTGAAAAAACCCACTCAGACGCCATCCGATGCCCATCCAACTTTCGGTCTTCTTGAAAACAAAAAGCGTTTTTGTAAAAGAGGTATCGTTTTCGGTGAGCGCAAACCACACGTGCGGTATATATTGGTTGTTTCTCTTGCCGAACTTCCACGATGCCAAATTCTTCGACTTGACGGGGTACATTGGACGCAATTCTTCGGTGGATCCCATAACTGCTTGATTTTGCTCATTTGACAATATTGGCGTTTTTTGAAATAATTATCTATTGCTTGTGCGAGCCCATCCAATCCTGGCTGAGCGATAGTTAGGCCCTGATCAAGCGATATTCCAGCTCTAGGGTTTCGAACAAGCGTTGTAGCGTAATATTCCTCGGACTATTGCGTGCCCCTTCTGCTTGAAAAATATTTTTGAGCCAATAACCGCATTCAATGTGCTTAATGCGTTGGATTTGCGCTGATGGCAAAGTTTTTCCGAGAACTGGCTTTTATTTTTGTTTTTTTTTTTGTTAGGGATTATCCTTCTACTATTAAATCCGCTAAAAGTGCTTCTAATAGCTTTGGATTCGAAACTGTCCTTCATGCGTATTTCTGACACGCTTCTTGGTTGGGCTCTATCTCGCATATTTCGATTCGGCTCTTCTCAGGGCCTCGCTTTCGGATTGTGTTGATTTGGCCATTTATGCTAATTTACGGATTCTTCATGGATTATTTTGGAGATTTAATCACTTTCATAAATTGTTAGATTTCTTTTTGTCCGTTTAGAAGCAGTACAGCCATATACTTCAAGGCAGTTTCTGCGTTTTCCGGCAAACCGCGATGTAATTTCGGCTGAAGCTTGACTTTAATTGGATTTGCCTTTTGAATACTTTTGATGCAAGTTGATGATCGTGCAGAGGTGTTTACACTGGTGGATTTTCATAAACATAATATTTTGAAAATATGCCTTGAAAGCTTTTCTGATAAATCCAGATTTTGTGCCATTTTTTTTGAATACACCGTCGTCCAATTTCGTGGTATTCGGGTTCGTTGCTATTCCTCTTGCCAATTTTCCTGCTAGTCCAATTGGCCTACACAAGTGTTTGCTTATTTTTGCGTGATTATTTTTAGCGCAAAGTTGAATTGTTGACCTATGTGGATTTTCCAATCAGCTTCTTTTTGAAAGGCTTCCTTTGCATAACCACAATGGGATCAAGGTGTTGAGTGGCTTGTAATTGTAATTGTAATCAACTTGTAATTGTTTAAGCTGTTGGGACGCTCGAGCTTGTGCTCCTTTTGACCACCATGTCATGATTTCTGTTGAAATCGTTGACGGCGTATCCGTAGAATACTGAAAATTCCCATATTTTTTAGCAATCTCGTGATCGTACTTGGTTCGATTGTTCTTTATAATTTTATTTATATGAAGCTCGCTGCATCCCTTTCTTCGACTGGGACCTCATTTTTCTTCAGCTTTTTGAGCACCACGAGTTTTTCTTCTCATTCTTCTCATAGCACTTTAGCAGTAGTTGGCAATCGTTTCGCTGGTTTTCATATTTGCTCAACTGCTTCTGGGTCGATATTTGATGGCCCTGATGATCCTGCACAGATGTTTCGTTTGGTGCCCAAGCTCAAGCTCGTCCTCGATTTGAGCATCACCTCCCGAAAGCTTCTTTAGTAATCTTTGCTAGCATAGCGTCCGGTGCATCTAATTCCCAAGCTATTGCTGCGTTGCCTGGTTCGCTTCTCCGGCTTTCTTCTATATTTCTTTGAGCAAAAGCATTTTCTTCGTGGTTTATCCGGTTGTTGATTTTTTCCCAACTTATCATAGCACTTGCCTTGACGAAATTTGGAGACGATACATTGATGAAATCGCCATTTTTTGGATAAATTGCCCGGGATTGAGGTTTGAACCTAAATATGTAGATAAATTTTGTAAATAATGGCGATAAACTTTTGAGAGAAGTTTGTTTAAGAATGATATTAAGATAAGGAAGGCTTGCAGTATCGATAAACTGGAAGGAAAAAACAATACAAGACAAGGGAGCAGCTAAACGGTTGAAAATTTTATTAAATTTGAAAATGTTTGGAGATTTTTTATAAAAATGATTTGAAAATGCTTTGGAGATTTTCTATAAAAATGACAGTTAAAAAAATTTTACAATCAAATATCGAAACGGGGCCGTTTTTCTACATAGTTCTAAAACAGGAATTCTAAAACTCGAATTTTTTCGCTTCACGAACAAAAAAGCTTTAACACGCAACACAACTTATTAAACTGTTGCGGAAGCAAGAA